GCTGGAGCTATTTTTCACATTTTCTTCTAACTTCTATCCAGAATATCAGTCTGACTAAGAGATTTGAATAGCTCGTATGTATCTTTATGTTTGATGGTTTTTTCAGAAGATGCATAATATATAATCTATTGAGTACTTTACAAGCTTAAGAAGTACACAGTACACACTCTAACATAACCTTTATGTGCCATATGAATGCTGTAAAACTTTCACATAAGGATTTCCGTCGTCATCTACAAAGTATCTCAGTTTTATTTTTGGGGTTTTTTTTCGATCCTATCCATCAAATTGTAATTTAAAATCCCTCACTCTGACTTTAAACAAAAATTGAATTTTGTGACTCCAAAATAATCACCTTTCTCATCATCTCATGCTTCAAAAATATATTTCCCTTGTAAGTTTGGCATGATCCCTTTTAGAATAAAACACGATTTTATGAGTCATTTTTTGCCAAAAACCAAAGATGAAAAGTATTAGTCTTTCATTAATCACTTTGAAGAGAACGAGCGAACCTTGGTTGATAGATATTCAAGTTTAATTCAGGGTAGTTTCATCACGATTTCATGTTAGCTGGACACATTCTTCATCCTAATGTAGCAGTTCACACTACCACATGACTATGACCGCGTGGGGGGTTTAGCCAAGAGCCATATGACTTGACTGTGGGTGCAATGAGATTTCTTCAATTGGTTGATATCAAATTATACACTTTTCCTAAATTTTGCCACTTTATGATATACCGTAACCTTCATCCAAAATCATCCATGGCTGACTTGGTTGTCATCAGAGGCCACAGACTGTTGTTAGAACTTCCAACAATTGACCCTGAAACAGGTGGAAAAGGCGCTTTGGAATTTAATTTCAAGGGGCGGGGGGGGGGTTGAAGAAATTGTTCTCTTCAAGGTAAGTAACACGTTGATCTCAACAGTTTACGATCCTGAAATCAACCTTTCATTGGCTCGTCAATGTCCATTGCTGGGAAGTTCCGATAAAGACGGAATATGCGTACTATTTCCCCCTTTTAAGAATTTGAATAAAGTAAGAAGTACGGTACTGACGTAATTAGCATGGATGCTTTTCGTGAATTCTTCTCACTTGCTATACAACCCATAGAATATAATGTTTATGATAAACAATATGTTATATAATATATTTTTTCAAATCAACGAGAAGTTTTTGAAATGAGATGGGAGGGAATAAAGATATATGTTAACCGAAATCAATGAAACCGTTAAGGTTAACTACTTCTACAATGGTGGAGAATATTTGTAGCTCAGAAGGAAAATTTTGAGGATGTTGTGTTCACTGAGCTGGTTAGTTCAATCATGGAGTTTTTATTGTCATTCTAGACGACATCATCAGCGTGAACTTCTAAAGAGCTGAGCTATAAGGTTTTTTCCACAATTAATTTAGTATCTTGTCGTGATATCCTGATAGGGAGATAATGACAGTACCTTGGAAGAAAAAATCAATCACACACAAGATTATCACCACTAGGTACTTAATTAGTTGTGGAAAAAAACCTTGTAGCTCACTTCCTTCTGAAGTTTGTGCTAATGATTTTGTCTAGAGTGGTAATGAAAGCCCAGCGATTAAACCATTCGGCTCATCAAAATTGTTTATTGCAGTGAGAGAATAAACATTCTAGGAAAGATTGCAAAGAAACAGGATGGGGTTGTACATGATTTTATTCTAGAATTGGTAATCAATGACGTCATGGTTAGGTAAGCATAACAAAAGGTTAATATGCTTTCATCATATTAAGAAACAAGATGAATACAACTCAGAACGTTTCCCGAAGAATTTGAGTCTAAAAGTTCCACAACGTTTAAACACGGCAATCGCTCGGCATTCCCTTTATAATCCACATAAGGCCAACGTATCGAAGGCATTCAAAGTGACCAGTAAACAACAGAAATCCATCAAGGTTTTGCGGTCTGCTAAAGTGACCATTATATTCAGTAAGATACTGTTGTCAATCTTACATTGCCATGATTATTTAAATCTCCTAAATTTGGGAATACAAGGTTACCATAATCTCATGACCATCAGTTCTATTTTGCACTTTATTTTTCCATCTATCTCAAAACCTACTCACACATTCTTAGTTGTGTTCTTCCTTTTTCTCAATATCATAGGCATAAGAACCCGTATGGCAAATGAGGAAGAACAATTCAATCCAGTAAAGAGGTTGCTATCATGCTTTCGTGGCCTAATGGATAACGCCTTAGCGTTCGAAGCGATAGGTAGGAGGTTTGAGTTTCAGTGGGAAAAACATCGCCCTCTGAGGTGCAGGCACATCCAGTTGACGAGTTCCGAATGCGACGAAAAGTGCGTCCTGGATTCCTCTGCTAGCCACAACCAAGTAAGTTATCATAGAAACTTGTTGATTTTTCAGTGTCTTTAGTTAACCATGAAGCCTTTTCTACTAAGTGTAGAACAACATTGTACAAATTACTATTATTATTACTATTATTATTTGTCCTTTGGGTTCCTGGTGGAACATTGGGCTTCATCAGCACATCTCCATTCCACTCCCTTCTCTCCAGTATGCTTAACCTGGCTCCACCACTGCCCACAAGCTTTCATTTCTTCCTCACATGATCTCTTCCATGTCACCCACAGCTTAGACGTCCAACTCGTCGTTTCCCATCTAGAGTTCACTCGAGGGCTTGGCCTGGCGCGTGATATCCCCAATCGGACTTCTCAGTGCATGCCCAATCCATCTCCACTTCCTTCTGCATATACATTGGGAGATGGGTTCTTTGTTGGTTCGTTGCTAGGATGAGTTCCTTGTTGCTTATTCTTATTATTCTGGCCATCTGAACCAATCTTGAGTATCCAGTAAGCGAGCGTAGGCGACAGCTGTTGATGAATGTTTGTAGTTTGTTAGAAATGCTTTTCGTAACGTGCCAAGTCTCTCAAACATCAAATAGAAGCAATGACTTCACTGACATTGGTGTTGGAAATCCGTATCTTGTTCACGCTTTATGCTGAGTGCTGTGCAGTAGATCTGCACACTGTTTTCAGGTTAATGAAATCCTGTTATGTCGTCTTTCCTATTCTGGCTTTGACGTCCTCATCTGTGCTGCTACGTGTAATTGAGACGATGCCGCCTTAGGTAGGTAACTGAAAGAGACAAATTCCCAAGTGTTTCTTACGTTGATGGTGATTGGTGCTTGTTGTTATTGTTTTTGGTTGGGTATCTTCACCTAAAGGAAGTTCCGTCTTCGCTACCTCGCCTCTTCTATGAACGTTTTGGTTTTCGCCTGTAGATCTTCGAGTTTGTGCTACATTAAACATAAATCATCATCATTGGCGAAATCCAAACCCTCTAGAGTCTTTTCATCGGTGAAATAGCGTATGACCATCTTCTCACGCCTAACAGTTTGTTGCATGATCCAGTTTAGTCCACCCAACCACAATCAGGAAGATTATTGGTGACAGCAGGCGGCAACCTTGTCTTACTCCTGTTTTCACTTCACAAATGTCTGTGAGCTTTTCGTTTTGAATCACTTGGCATAAGGCGTCTTCATATAGTTGTTGAATGAGGTTGATGAAGGTTTGTGGCACTAAAAGTGTAGTGTTGAAGCAGTTTCCAAATTACTTCTTGGTCAAAGCTATCGAAAGCGTTTTCAAAACCCATGAAGTTGAGGTGAAGAGTTGACTGTCGTTCTATACTCTGTTCTAAGATGATGCTTAGCGTTACGTTACAATTTGATCGGCATATGATTTGTTTTTCTGGAAACAAGCCTGTTCCTGTCGTAATTTTGAATCCAAAGCATTGCTTAACCTCTCCAGGATGATGCGGCTTAATATTTTGCTTGCTTTGGGTGGACAGGAGCATGATAGCTTTTACCATATCTTGAATGTTCATTGTTTCACTGTATAAATAGTCGACATTTGGGTACTCTTAACAACTTCATCAATGTCTATCAACCTAATTCTTTCTTACCTTCTGTCTCAATTAGTATAAGATTTTGTCACTTTAACAAATTACACTAAATTACATACTGTATATCATAAGTTTTATATTCTATTGGTTGTTAATCAACTAGGGGATACCTACGAAACCCACATGTTGATTCTGTTACTATTGTTTTTCTCAGTTAAGGACGGGATGATTTTTCAATGTGTCCAGCTTTCTAACAGATCTCCAACTCATATCAGTTCGTTATTAGTACTGTCTTGAAATTATTGAATCTGCACGAAAGCCTTATCTGAATCCAAGTCAACCCCTTCTTGAGTTGCCTAGGTATGTAAAAAAAAGTAACAGTTATTTACTGCATTTAAATAACTCCCTACGACCCTTCCCATTAAAGCTGACGAAGAATCTTTTCCTACTACTTAAAAATATACAACAAGATCTATCTATTTTATTGCATTTAATGCATTTCTTTGTTATTTACAACAATTTTACTTGTAATTTACATCGCATTATTAAAAATATACAAAGATAAATTTTACTTTCATTCCTTATTATAATAGAATTTTTGCGCCAAGTGTCATGTATACTTTTAATAGCAGATTAAAACAACCTATGCAGGAAGTGAATGTGAAGAGGAAATAGATTTGGTATTGTACAAATGTTCACTATCTTTGTTTTTATTTTTCTAATAAATAATATATAAAATTAAGACTAGGCTTTATATCGTTCAACACATTCCCAAGGAATGAGTTCATCTTCATCAAATAAACAACAAAAATTAAATTATACTGATGAAAAAAAGAATTTAATCAAAATCATGTGTCAAATCTGTATCTATTAGTTAGATAATATTTACTCTTATGATAGCAGAAGTTTCTATTTTCAAAAAATCCATTGAACATTGAACCTTCAATGTTCAACAGAATATCAAATAATTAAGCGTGCGCCTTTTAAAAATTCACATGATAGATGCGTAATTAATATTAATTGAAAGATACAGAATATTGTCGTTTCGATGCTGAAATAAAAATCACTGAACTTAGTCTGTTATAGATGATTATTGTTTTCTGATTTAAACAAAACTTCCTTCTGTATTTAAAGATTTGTTTACAACTCCGGTCCCTTTATCTGTAAAAAAACAGTTTGTTTCATTCATTATGACTGATGACTCTTTTTTGGGTGAAATCAAGGTGACTACTTTATTTTGACGAGTAGATTTTGTCTTTTTATCATCAATCAGTTTAACTGGTGATTTATCATTGCTACTACTGTGGTTGTTGTTACTATTACTGGTAATTTCGTTATTCACTTGGTTGAAGTTAGACAAATTATTTCCACATTCACTTGTAGGATAATTTGTTGTTCCACCAACTTTCAAGGTATTTGTTTTGTTCAATTTATTAACCATCTTATTCATTGGCATAAAGTCTATGTCATTATGGTTGGTCACATTTGTTTTTACTGTGGATAAGTAGAGATCATCAAGTTTACATACATTGTCGTCATGTGGTAGTGCCGTTTTACTGCCTTCTGAGTGCTGAGACTGTGTTAACGGTTGCAATTGGAAAAAGTCTTGAAGTATACTACTATTATGAGTAGTATGGTTGATTTTAAAAGTGTTATTAGATTTTACTGGTTTAAATTGAAGTTTACAGTTCAGCTGATCATATGGATTTGCAAAGGATTCATTAGGTTCCTCTTGATTGTGTTTTATCCAATTGGGAAAAAGTGGAATGTTTCTTTGTGAGCATTTTTCTTCATCACGATGAAATGACGTTAGTGTTTGATATTCACTTCTGGATGGCACTGGTACACAGTTGACAGGATTATTGGGTAACAGTTCATCTTGCGCCAGTTGAAAGCGTACTAAACGACTGTCTATAGGGTTATATTAAAAGAAGACAAGAGATGCAATCAACTTGTTAATAGCTAATAGTAAACAATAAAAAAGGACGATGACTCTTCAAGGATTAGAAGTGAACTTGAGATAAGAACCAAGATCATGATGGCATTAGAACCAACAAACTCTGAATTAATGACCTGCAGCTCTACAGATAGCTAAGGTACTCTATGATTACCCTCTTATCTGTTTCAGTTCAGTCACTCAGAGTTGTATTCATGAAAAAATAACCCAGAAATTGCTAGTAACGCCAAAGTACACAAATGAAGGGGGAAAATGCAGTTCAAGGAAGACCTACCGAAGTAGGTCTGATTTTGGACAACAATAAACTTGAGAATTAGAACACCGGGTGAAACTTTGAGATAAAACTTCAAGAAATTTTAATAAGGATGACAACTGTTGTATCCATAACCGGTTGACTAATAACAAAACGTCACAAGAGGGAAATCGACATCTAACTGCTGATGGCATATGGCCATGTACTGTCCATTAGCCACTGCTTTAGTATCAGTCTCATTGTCCGCACGTATTGTTATTCGCCAGCCGGTCGGGGACAAAACAGCGTAAAACCGTAGAGAATAGTAAATCGATCCGCTGCAATATATGCAATTGTTTACACATTATAGGCCGTAAACTGAGAAATTTGCCAACTCAAAAGCTTTCATACGCGTTCTCCAATTCATCGATAACTAAGGACATAACTGAGCATCAGAAGAGAACCTTGTCTTATGACATCCAACAGTATTGCTACGTCTATCCTTATCTACCTAAACGTAAGCGGGAAGAAGGCGGTAGCCTGAGGAGAAGACAGTAATAAGATTCGAAGACGCTTTTAAAATTATCTTTGTTTTTGTTTTTGGTTACTCATGAGATGATTAGTAATCAAATTTCCATCTTGAAGTCAAACTGCCATCTCCTCCTAGAGCTATGTTCGTGTGAACATAAACGGATATGTTTTGAGAAGCTGAAGCTCTTTTCCCCTTTGAGTTACTTCTACATCCTGATAATGTATGTTAATGTTAACTGTGAAATGATTTAACTCCTGATGTGAACTTCAGATTAATAAACGCAACTGCTGTTTTAACTATCCATGATTACAATGCTCACCAATGAAGTTATACTGACAAAATAATAGCGACTTTGGAGAGAAAGTAAAACAACTGTCTCATGTTTCATTTCCTTTTACTGTAGATACACAGATGACACCATTCTGTACAGAAAATGATACTAATCCTGACATTCTTCTCGATACATTCAACACGTACTCGTCCAGAAATCGAGTTCGCATGTAAAACGGAGAAAGACAGATACTTGCTGCCATTTCTAGATGCTTCGCTGCCAAGATAAACAGATGGAACTGTTAGACAAAATAATAATCATAAGAAATCATAGATTGTTCAGTATATACAAATCTAATAATTAGTCCCTCTCATCTTCAAAGCGAGTTTAACTCGTACACTGATTTTTCGAGTCAGTAAGATTTACATAGCTGATAATTTGAACTATGAATTAAGAATGATAAAGAACTCCTTATACGAAAATGGCTATCCTGAAAAGTTCATGAAGACTGTAACAACGAAAAGGGCTGGATAAAAGTGCCTTCAAATGTTGCCGAAGAAATAATTACGTCTAAATTTAGAGGTTTAAAGGATATCCACCTGCAGAAACAGTGACACTGAAACTTAGAAATGTGATACGTAGAACCGACTTCGCCGCTTCACTATGTCTGAAATTTACTATTAGCTGTTTGATGCCAATACAGTAGAAGTGCCACCTGGGTTTGATTAGATAGCACCTCAGTCAAATCGCCACCGAGCCGGATCCTTCTTCCAAGCCCAAAATGTAACAACCAGATGTTGATACGTCTTCATTTAGCCTGCATGTAGATAAGCAGGTAAGTACACTGTTACAGGGGGCACGTACAGCAGTGTAAGCTTAGTGGTGGCCAAAAGAATGTCAGCGGGAAAAGAGGAAGAGAAAAAGTGAGCAGACGACACAGCAAGTATAAGTCATACTCACTGACTGACATCAGTGGTATACAGATACCTACATATCCAGTGCAGGAGGCGAAATTCTACTGTAACTGAAAATATATGTGAACTGCTGGTTTACGAGAATTCTTTATGTAGAAAGAGACTCATTCACTTGTCATGCTACTGAATACAAAATATTCATAAAATAGATTGTGTGATAGTTGAACTTGACTTCTGAAGAAGAAATGTTCATCGAAATGGCTACCACACATGATTTCTCAACAGTAAAGTGTGAGAAACATATGAAAAACTAGTCATCAACTCACTTCCCTAACAAACTTTCTCCATGAATCTGCTATTTGAAGGTGATCTCACATCAGACATTCTTTCAAGTCGTCTCACAACATCACATACAAGCATCTTATCCTCAGTCTGAATTCAGTCAATCATTAACAGATATTAATTGTTCTCTGTGGATAAGGAGTAGACGATATTCCACCACATGCTACCTCCATGTAAATCGACATGTTCATCTATTCCTGTGATACATGTTAAATGACATTAGGCAGAGACTGTTGTTGATACTTGGAGGAGATCATATTTCATTCTGTGTTTTGAAAGTGAGGATGGGAGTGTCTTCGAAGTTCTTATCTTGAACTCCTCATTAATTTCATCCATTCAGTCCACTGTGACAGTGGTTATCGGATTCTGTGAAACAGTTCATGCAGACTGTGGCCATGGAAGCAGTTAGAGGAAAGGGGGTTGGTTCAGATGGTGCCGAAGAAATGATAACATCTAGCATTAGTGTTGAGATGAGATGCAGTCGCAGAAAAAATGACACTGACACTCAGATATTCGTTTCGAAAATCCTTCAAACACACTGTGTTTCAGGTGTAATGCTCGCTGTATGATGCCAATGTAGTAGAAGTGTGGGTTTCCGAATCTGGCCACATCTATGTGCATTGATACATTTTACTGCTCCCATCGAGATGGTTACATAAGCAGAACGAACCACCAAGTCCGTCATTGCTACACTGAACACTGTCCAATGTGGTTAGTCGAAGGAACACTGGAATCTATCAGATACTCAATACTCATCCGTCTAGTACATACTGAGTATGAGATTGACATAACCTCAATCAGCATTTACTATTATTCACAAAGTCCCATTACACTATTCGAAATTTGTGCACCTCCCATTGCTAAACATTGCAGAAGCGATATCAATTGAAATTTTCAAACCTGATTTATGTATTCAGAAACTGTTTGTTCATTCCCCCCAATCCCTTGTATTTCCTCCAACTTCAACCCATATACAATCACTACAATTTCCTCCTCGATCACTCACATAAATGTCAATATTATCTCTGCTTGAACTCTTACCATCATCATCATCATCATCTCATTTTTCTTCCATCGTCTCATTATTCATTAAGAATTTTAACATTTTACTGCCTAATCACTATGGGAAAATAATTTTATTTGTTAGAGTATGGAACCGGAGTAGCTCGGATGGGAAACGTGGTGTTCAGTGATTCGAATGCAGCTGTGGTTCAAACTTCATTTCACCTTTGAGTCATCACCCAGTATAAGCACTAGTCCACCAAACGACGACAATCATAAATAATCAGTACTGATAATTTTATTTCTGTGTATTCCACACACACACACACACACACACACACACACACACGCAATTCATTGATACATGTAGAAGGATTGACTACATAGAATGTATGAAGTTTCTGAGATTTTGTTTTGTTATTATCACTTTTACTGTTATCTTCTAATTCATATGCTGGGATTAATTTAACCATGTCGGTGATGAAAATGTCTTCGAATTTTCATTTCATATATTTCTGACATCTGTAGAATAAATTTTATTTCAGGCGTGTTATGAGTGGGAACATTTACATTTGACAGTTCAGTTATTACGTAATTTTGATAGGTAGACATCGAAACTTGGAGTTAAGTAGCTCTTTTCTTTTTTCCCAAATCAAGTAAAATTTAGTGATAATTTGTAGGAAGAAACTTATAATGGTGACAATTTACATTCTACTTCTCAACAAGCACAACATTTTTTTTCGCAGTGAATCGGGAAGTGGCTCACTGGTTTAACCATTCAACCTCTACACCGGTAAATGCAATTAATTGGGCCTTGACAACTGGGCGGTCTCACAAATTCCCATCCCCACCACTCTATTAAGTGTTTCTTATAATCTAGTCTTGTACGCGGACAACAGCCGAACTGAGTTGCTTATTTATTCACTTTTATGTGTGTAAACAGAAATAATACCTTAAAAAAGCAGAGTTGGGAGAAATTCGATAACTATATACACACTTTTTTGTCTCTCTCATCCACTTTTTCATTTCCGTGACATTTGGAAATGAAATGAATACCGCTATTGTTTAACGCCTATTAAATTCGCTATATTATTTAGTGTAGTTCCAACTTATATAAAAACTATCTTCCTTTTCAAACGAATATACTTTGGTTAGATGAAAACGAAAATGTAAACAGTAATTCATTTTGTAATCTATAACATTGATAGATTTTGTTTTTCTGGAAGATGATAATACTTTCTAGAAAATCAGTTTTTCACTAACAATCTGAACCTATTATTGTATGGAACTCTATCATTTGATGACTTACATGATGAAATGTACAACGATCGGTTACTAGATGGCAAACAGTATCATCTTGCTTAGTTCTGAGCTCAAAAATTGGCATTATTTCATGTATAATAGATTAATCAATAAATAAGTAAACGTGTTATTCTCACCTTATGAATTTAATGGATACGATGGATGGCGGAAAAGAACCTGAAAGACTTGGATTTCGCCGATGACTTGTGTCTGATGTTGCACTAGCTTGAAGATCTACAGGTGAAAACTAACAAGCTGACAGAAGAGTCAGGGCAACGAAGACGGGAATTCAAGTGAATGTATAGAAGACAGAAATGATGAAGATACCCAACAAACACCACCTCCAACCACAAACTCCA